CTGACCTGGTCGCTTTGGACATTGATATGTTTTGATACTACAGTTGTTTGTGAGTATATATCTACTTTGGATTCAATAAAGATACATCTCCGGTAATGCACTATGCTGGTGCGCTCTCTCTTCCCTTGTTTTACAGTGATACCAGAAAACATATTTGACCTTTTAACATAAAAATAGTGCAGCGCTGAGGGTAGTGATCATAAAAACAAATAAGAGTCCACTGTAAGTCCAGTTCATAAAAACGTGTCAAGTGACACGTGGGAATTCAATGTTGGTGATCCGTGAGGAAGCGGCTGAAAAAACGCACTCACCAGAAAGAAGACACATTAACGCAGTATGCATCCAAGGCTCATGGATCCTCAATCCAGACGAGAATAAAGCTGGTCCGATTACAGGAAAATGGGTCCCTCCGATGTGGATGCAGCAACAGATCCTCCTCCTCCCAGTTAGGTGTAGGATTCCAAAGTCAGGGTTCTGCAAGCAAAGTGCTCCTGCAGTCTCCTGAACACACAGATCTTGCTGCTAACAAGTTCCTCTCTCACTGCAGGTCATCAGTGCACATCGGAAGGAGGATTGTGAGAGACGCACCCACAGGAAGTGGAGGTCACATGCTTCCTGTGTATGCCTTGCAAGTGGGTTTGGTCGCAGACTGGAGCCCCACTCTGGACAGCTATTATATTTGAGATATATATATATATATATATATATATATATAGATATAGATATTTGACCTTTTGAACACAACATACCACAATACACGGCATGTACATGCCATAAAAAGAAACACATCCACTTTGTTTTTTGTGAGTATGGTATAAAATACAACATTATGGCTTACATGAAGTTTTAGTGATTACGTTTTAAGCACTGCCAGGTTAGAGTATGAAGGGCCTGTCAGTAAATTCAGTTGCAAGGGCCTACCATGAAACCAAAAACTATATTTTTAAAGTCAAATGTGTGTGTTATACCATAGTCACACAAATAACATAATGTATGTGTTTGGTGTGTTATATTAAGGTGGAGGGGAATCAAATCTAATTTTTTATGCTTTCAGACGTGTTGTAAGAGACCAACCAGATGACCTTCTTTTAGATTTAATGACTAGTCCAAGAAAGGATTTAGGTAAAATGAAAAAAAGAGGAACAAAAGCATTTGGTCTTTTCAGAGATACCGTGAAGGGATACACAGTTTGACCCCAAATATTTAGAGTATGTACTGTGTAGATGAATAAACCAGACTGCATAATCCCCTTGTCTTCTCTTGGAAAACAGTCCTGTCAGAAAAGTCATTAGATACGGCCCTTTGCATTATTATTGCAGTTAGCAATTTGGTCCAGGAGGGAATAGGGCCTATCAACTGCACATCTCTTAGATAAGGCAGGTATTTATGGCTCTCATTCAATGATGCCTTGAGCAGATAAGGCCACTAATTCTACTTGACTCTGTTTGTTTGAGCCAAGGACACAGCACAGCACATTTCCCCATTAGTGGAGATATTGTGTGGCTGGGCCTTGGAGAGGCCCTAGCAAGTTCATTGTGAAGTCAGACTACTGTATATGAGGGTTTGTTCACACCATGGAGCTAGTAGGTGCTAATTAGATACACTTCACTTTCTATTATAAAAAGCCACCCAGGTGCTGGTGACATTATTAATATATGCTGCAGTCATGCATTCTCACAGTAATGAAATATTAATTCCAACTGCAGCTGCTACATGGATGGTTTTAAACAACACAGTTAGTTGGCGGAAAACTTTACATTTTAGTCTTTTTGTCCTTTATTGTTTCCCCCACCCCCACCAGTGAAGCCAGATATTAAAATATTAAATCTAGCCATGAACTAATAGATTTCTTTAATTCGGTCTGCAGACTAATGCCCTGTATACAATATCAGTTTTTTTTTTTTCATTCAACCCAGTGGGCTGAATGAAAAAAACTGATAGATTGCTGTACTAACACAAACGGTGTTAGTACAGCGATCTCCCCCGCTGTGACATTGTGTTCTGACAGGGGGACTGCCGCCCTGCCAGAGGACACCATTCAGTGATCTGAGCCATTGGATAAGAGCGCTGATTGGAAGCTGATCAGCAAACCTTTTTTTGGTAGTACCCTTGAACAGATTCCGACTGTCGGACTGGCTACTGTACACACAGGTCGAATGTCGGCCGGGTTCTGTTGAACTGGCTGATACCACCCAATTGCAACACCTCTCTGTGCTCAGGCATTCGGATCCGTAGAGGGGCTGTGAGCCAATACTCTTGAAGAGTATGGAGATTCATCTAGGACCAATCAAAGGCTGTGCAGCTCAAACAAAAAGCAAGGGAAGCTCAATACAAACTGTAGTGAAGAAGAAAAGACAGAGCGCACCAACCTTGCACATTACCTCAGTAAACAGTTAATTGATTTATTGATTTAGGAGATATACTCAGAAACATAGTAGTACAACAAGCATGTAAAGTCCAAAATCGAACCACACGAGATTAGCAGAGTGACGCTGACACATTTCAAAGGGTGTTTCAGAGCTCTGATGAAGAAGGGATCCCCCTTTGAAACACGTCAGCGTCACTCTAAAAATCTCCTTTTCCGGTTGGATGCGCACGTGTCTCCTTATCGTGTGGTTTGATTTTGGACTTTACATGCTTGTTTTACTACTATGTTTGTGAGTATATCTCCTAAATCAATAAATCAATTAACTGTTTACTGAGGTAATGTGCAAGGTTTGTGCGCTCTTGTCTTTTCTTCTTCACTACAGTTGATACCACCCAACATTTGGCCCATGTGTACGGAGCTTTAGTAAAAAAAAAAACAATAACAGATGCTTCCATCCATAATAACAGCGTGGATGGACGAATCCTCCCTGCTGGGCTACTATATTCTGAATGCCAGCGTTGTGGTGGCTACATTTGTTTTCTTTTATAGGCTTATTTCCCTCTGTTTTCACCTGGTAATCTGACCAGCAACACACCTGCTGTATTAGAGTGCCCCCACTCTGGATGAAGGAGCACAGGGGGCACCTTTTAGACAGTAGCACTGTCAGTCTCGGGGGGGAGGGAAGTGTAAGTTGAAGTTGAAATCAAACTCCAGCTCACACTCTATAATCAGTTGCAGCAAACAGTTTTTTTTTTTCATTTTGGTATAAAAGTTTTGCATAAATAAAAGGTGATCATTGTAAGCACCCCTGTAAATGGCTTATCTAATCTCTTTAACTGATATTCTCTGCTGGAGAGATTTTTCTTTTGAAACACAACAGACATACCGACTGGATCACCAGGTGAAAATAGAAGAAAGAAAGCTTAAAAAGAATACAAATGCAGCCATCACATCTAAGAAATGGTAAATTGCAATATAATACATGTTTGCTTTTGGATTTAATACTGCTTTAACTTCCAAAACTAAACAGCACATAAGCAAGGAAAAGTTAGTATTAGCTGTTGGATAGGAAGGGAATTAAGTGACCCTTTTACTTTGCTCTTTATGGGAAAATTAAGTCTGAATTAAGGAAATAAACTCATCTTATGATGAGATTTTTCCTTTCTCTGTTGTGTTTTTGTCAATCTTTGGTGTCAGTTTAATATTTTGGAAGATTGGGCACTGACACATTTGAAAGGGTGTTGAGCACCGTAGAGCTTCTAATTTACTGTATATAGGAGCCGTTCCCCTCTGGCAAAGAAAGTAGATGCAGGTAATAGCTAGGTGAATTTTGATTCCAACTTTGTGCTTTGTAGTCTGAAGTTCTTTAATGATTTAAAAGGAAGCTTGCTTTTCATAGGTCAAACAAAAAAGGGGTACAGGGGCAACTTGCAACGGATTCAAGTCTTCAGATCCGTAGCTCCGCTGAAGACTGGCCTCTCCTGGACATGGACTACCTAGATGCAGGCCATCACAGTCCATCTCCACTCTTCATTGAAAATAGGAAAAAATCAGCTGCAGTCCAATTAGCTTGATCACAAGAATAGGTATTCCCTTAAACATAGTACACACGATCCGAAAATCGTATGAAAAATACCACTTTTAAAGCGATTTTACAATAATCTGATTGTTAGTAGACAGATTTCATCTGAAATTATTTGAAGGGACAAACACAAAAAATTTTACTTGTAAGAGACCAGATTGTACAATTTTCTTTTACTTAGTACAATTTTCCTCCAAAAATAAAATACAAATACATTGCATAACTTCCAAATTTTATTTCTGTTGTACAAGAGTTTTTGTAACTTTAGTAAACTTTTCACTTTTGATATGACTAGCATGCAAAAAAAAAAAAAACGGGCGACCATTTGTCCAATATTTTCATTATGTGTACTGGACTTTAGATTCCTCTATCCCTTTGAGCAAGCCAGGAGTGGTTAAACGCATCAAAGATAGGCAGGTTTTGGGTTGGAGACATCACTTCATGCAGTCACCACACCGATTATTAAAAATACTGCAAGAAGAGCTAACTGGAGTGCCATTGATTTGTTTTTTCTATTTTCATAAAAGAAGTCTTATTTACCTCTGCTTTTGTTATCCTTAATATGGCAGTATTTCCTAATAAATTTGTTGCATCCAGAATGTAAACATATCACATGCAGCTACTACCTGAATTAATGAACACATTGGAAATAGCAAGACAATTTTTGCATGGCTTTCATGAATTTTTTGCAAGTCTTTCTAATACAGCCATAACCAGAAAAGTGATTCAAATGCTTTAATAAATGTATTTTTCTTACATTTACACACAAACAGTATGTATTACCCACTGACCTACCAGAATGTAACTTTTATTTTTATATTTTTTATAGAAAATAGAATAGATACTTTGTCAGAGCTGTGACTTTTAGAAATAGATATTATTAAAATATTTGAATCGGCTCTGTTGTCTTTAACCACCTCCCGCCCACCATATAGTAATATGACGGACGCAAGGTGGTTCTTTCGTTCTGGGAGGACGTCTTATGATGTCCTCCCATTCTCACTGCGCATGCACGGCTCAGGGAGCTCGCGGCGATCGGCGGTGCCCTGTGTCCTTCAGACACAGCGGATCACCGATCACGGAAAGAGCCAAAGATGTCGGCTCGGTCATGTGATCAGCTGTGTCCAATCACAGCTGATCACATGTTAACAGGGAAATGCCGGTTATCGGCATTTCTCTCCTCTCGAGCTGTCACGCTGACAGCTCGAGAGGAGAGGAGAACCGGTAATCGGCTTTCCGCGGAGGGGACATATACACTGATCATCAGGGCACTGATGATCAGTGTGCCCTGATAATCAGTGTAGCCCCAGCAGTGCCACCTGTCAGTGTCCATCAGTGCCTTATGTCAGTGCCTCGTGCCAGTGCTCATCAGTGCCACATATCAGTGCCTACCAGTGCACATCAATGCCATATATCAGTGCCCATCTGAGCTGCCTTTCAGTGTCACCCATCAGTGCCAGTCAGTGCCACCTATCAATGCCAATAATTGCCACCTATCAGTGCCGCCTATCAGTGCCAGTCAGTGTCGCCTATCAGTGCCAGTCAGTGCTGTCTATCAGTGTGCATCAGTGCCGCCTGTAAGTGCCGCCTAACAGTGCCAGTCAGTGCCGCCTAACAGTGCCAGCCAGTGCCGCCTATTAGTGCCAGTCAGTGCCACCTATTAGCGTCAGCCAGTACCGCCTATCAGTGCTGCCTATCAGTGCCGTATATCAGTGCCATGTATCAGTGCTGCCTTTCAGTGCCCATCAGTGATGCCCATCAGTGCCACCTACCAGTGCCTCCTCATCAGTGCCACCTATCAGTGTCCATCAGTGCAGCCTATCAGTGCCCATCAGTGCAGCCTCATTAGTGCACATCAGTGAAGGAGAAAAATCACTTATTTACAAAATTTTATAACAAAATCTAAAAAAAAAACATTTTTTTTCAAAATTTTAAGTGGTTTTTGGTTTGTTTAAGAAAAAATAAAAAACCCAGAGGTGATTAAATACCACCAAAATAAAGCTCTATCTGTCACAAAAAAATGATAAAAATTTAATATGGGTAAAGTGTTGTATGATCGCGCAATTGTCATTCAAAGTGCAACAGCGCTGAAAGCTGGAAATTGGCCTGAGCAGGAATATAAGTGCCCTGTAGGCTAGCGGTTAGAAGATAAAAAAAACAATAAAGAGTGAATTTCAGTTTCCTGCTAAAGAGGAGGTGTTATACTTACCTGTCCAGCACCCCACATCTTCTGTCTTTTCTTTGCTGACTCTATTAAAATCTTCAACATTAAGCACTTTCAGGGAGTGTTGGATTCTTTCATCCCCAGCAATGCCTTATGGTTCTATTTTCAAGCTTTTGCAGTAATTCACTATAGGACCCATTAGTGTTGTAGGTTAGTTGCACACCTGTATTGAGGGATTTTTTGACATTATTCTTTTCAAATCCTTGCAAGCTCAGACAGGTTGGATAGGGGCCATTGGTGGGCAGCCATTTTCAGGTCTCTCTCAAGAGATGTTCAATAGGGTTCAAGTCAGGGCTCTGGCTGGGCCACTCTAGGACATTCACAGAGTCGCCCCTACGCCATTCCTGTCTTGTCTTGGCCGTATGCTTAGGATCGTTGTCATGTTGAAAGGTAAACCAACTTTGGGGACTTTTTTAAACTTCACCCAAGATTTACAGATTTTTTGAATGGAATTGAAAAATGTGGGGATCTTGGATGAAAGTCTACCTTTTAGACTTGCACCATGAGAAGGAGCAAAGCAAAACTATTGTGCTGTACTGTAAAGGTGCAGCTAAGTCCCAAATTTTGGTCACGTGACCCCTGTATTCTTTTTCTCCTCTGTAACTATGCCTGTTTGAGGGAGGAGCCAAACAACAGCTTCAGATCACACATCAGTGACATGGGCTATGATTTTCAGCAGTGATTTTGTAGCATGTTGAGCACTGACAGTAAGACCCAGTTGTGGCACGGACTGCATAATAACATCATAATAACACACCCTGTAGCTCAGAGGACCAGAGGGTATGTCTTTAACTGTCCAGCTGCAAGGGAAAAGGGACTGGACAACACTGGTGCCAGGCATAGAATTCAAAAGAACTTTTACTGCAGACAGTGGGAACATGGGGGACAGACAATGATAGTGGGACCAGCATGGGCAGGAAAAGTAAAGGATATGAGTTTGAAGGATGCCAGTGTTCAGCTTTAGCATATGTTGATAAAATTATTTCTTGCTAATTCATCTTTTTTAGTTGTACATCTAAAATAATTAAAAATAAGAAACTTCCCTTAAAATCACCTTTTAATGGTGTAATAGTGAGCATAAAGCAATTCATTGCAAATGCCTTCTGAAGACATGTCTCAACATCCTTTGCAGCAGTGGCATTGTCTAATATTTTTCATTACTTATTTTGCTTCTTTGACACAGAAAAAAAGATGAATGAGACTTTTGTAGCCAGAATCAAATACTAAGAATTTTTTTTTTATTCCAGACTTAAGTTATTACTATTTTTTTTTTTTGGTCAGCCGGCATTGAATGCTTTTCGACTTATCTGTGCCCAAAGTCTACTTATACCCCGGCTTTCCGTGCCTGACAAATGAATAGTTCCTATTATCTGGCACAATGGCTGACATTCTAGATTCTGTTCAAATTGGGCTGATGATCTCCATTAAGGGGTCAAGTTTCTGCTCCAGGTATCTTTGTAGGGAAGATGGATGATTTAAAGGCTTTATTTTCCGTTGTAGATAGACTCTCCATGGCAGTAAGATCATCAGGCTCAATACAAGATTAATTGTTTCTCTGTGGAATCTGACTTTAGACAAGAACGTCTCAGTATCTGCTCCCTTAAAACCATTTTTGTTGGGGTATTTTCTTACATGGAAAGTTACAGTAGCTTTTAAAAATCAAAGGGGGCTTGACCCTTTGATTCACATTCAGTACAGTACCTTGATTCTTGGCCTGTGCAAGGCTGAAAAAGTTAAAGCATCACTCCACTTTTGAAAGAGAATGCTATATGTATAAAACAGGCCCACAGGGTCTGATTTGCATAAAATGACCCTTTGGCAAAATATTTTTTGCTACATGTGCTCGTAAAGCATGTATAGATCGGATTGCATGGAGGGTTCAAGCCTTTACTAGTGCATAGAATATTACAAAAGAACAAATCTTAAGTTGGAGCCCAAATAAGGATACAAATCTCCTTTTTTACTGTTTGCAAGCCAGCCCAAGCTTTGTTCAACATACATTCTTGCCACATAAGTATTTATTAATACTCTTCCAGTGTCTAATTTTATGTCTTTCTTCTAGGTAGCCAATTAAGTATGGATCACATCATGACAAGCAAAAGGTTAAAACAGCTTCAGAGCAGCCATGCACATTTTTTAAAGCTGAACTGCAGACAGATATCAAAATCATAAATTGGTGCAGCTCTATATTCATGAATGCATTATGAAATGGATTTTTTTAAATGCAAGCAGTGTGTGAATTTGACTTGGTATAAAACCTTGCAATCTACTATACAGCAGAGCTCAGAATGAGAGTGAAGCAGCACAAAAAGCCAGCCTGTTGTGCTGCAGTTCTTAAGTCCTAATAAGGGTCACTCTGATTGGAATAGTGAGTAGAGTGAAAGAGAGCTGGGCTCAATAGCCTGCCACTTCTCTGTTCACGGTCTATTCACAGGCAGGAGGAAGGACAGCATCTTTAAGTGTTAGTGAATTGTAGAAGAGAAAAATCAGTTCTCTTGCTCTATTGGACTGGCCTATGTCGTGTAAACACAAGAATAAACGGCGATAGATTCAGATTTTCTAAGGGTCACTGAAATTGTCCCTGGGCACACTAGCTCCAGTTTGGCAGCACTCCGCAAAACAGGGACTCTTCTCAGGGACAGGGAAAGGACCTAGATTTGAGAATCCACATACATACGATTGAATTGTTGGTCCCTGTCGTTCAACCCCTCACATCCAACCCAGGCACTTTCATGTAATGTCATATACTAGCTCCTGGGAGACTCAAAGGGTGGATTGATGGGAACTAGCATGTCTTACTGCCGCTTCCCTGCATCGCTCTGTATGTGGGGGGAAATCCTGACATTATGTGCCAGCAGAAAAGGCATTGGGTGCCCCACCTGGCTTAGAGTTCTGGTTTACATTGTAACGTGGCAAGAAAGGCTTGCTTTCTGTAAGATAAAATCTATAATTGAATAGCTTTACTAAACCACATATTTGTTTATTAATCACATTGTTTATGTGTCTTTCCAGGAAGGCTTGTAAATGGAAGTCCTGTAATTACAAAAAAGGGTTTTATTATGAATCTTATATTTTATTTTTACCCAGCATTTTACATGTTTCTTTTATCTCTATAGAGCAGAGATACCGTAAATGGTAGTTACCCCATTACATTGTAAGATAAAACATTTTTCCTATACTATAAATGCTTTAGACCTAAATAGATCCCCAAATCTTTCCTAAATTCCAGTAAATCTACCCCCTATGCGTAATTCCTTGAATCATCGCAGCTCTTGCAAAGATCATAATTTATGGCTGTATGAACTATTGTAAATGTCTGCGGTATTTTATTTACACATTACAAAGTTCAACTACCAGGGATAGTTGTAAGGGTCACGATACTTAAACTTTGCTGATTAAAAAAGAACTGTAGTTCTCTAAATTGGATGTGCTTAGTTATGCTGTCACTCTATTGCTTTGCCTCTTCTTCTTTACCTTTTTGGACTGGGGGCTTTGTTGGGTTGAAATCTCAAGTTTCCCTCATGTCATAAACAGTGTTGGTCTACTCACTGGAAATACAAGCATCAGTAAGGATGGATAGGTCATCTTGCGCAGATATTTTTCATTAAATAGGTGTAGGTCATATCAATATTTAAAAATAAAAGGTCGCATATATCTTATTTGAATATGACAAACTTGGCATGCTGAAAATTTTAATAGCAGGACCCTGGAAACATTTTTACATGGAAGGCAACAAACCCAGGTGAACTGTTAGTTCTTAGACATAATAAGGATTATGCAATGGATGCAATGGCAGTATATGGCATATGAAGTTATGATGGTACTGTTTTGCTGCTCCAGTTCAAGTACTGTATAGCAGGAGTGCTCAACCTATTGCCCTCGGAACCCTCTGTGGCCCTCAACCTCAAACCAGGGAAGTGCATGCCCAGGGTCAGCAACCCATTGATTGCGATTCGGGCTTGCTGACCTGCCATCCCAGAGCATCAGAGTTCACCGAGCCAGCTTTGGCAGCAGAAGAAGCAGGTGGTTGAGGAAGAGAGCAGGAGGTATATAAGCCGCTGCTTTCTCTATGGTACCGGCTCCTGTCCCAGGCAAAGTGATACCAAGTGCGCTTCTCCTGGTATCTTTCTAGCAGCCTGGAGATAGAGAGTGATGCCAGCAGAGGCTGGAAGAGGTAAAGATCAGTCTATTAAAATGGTTGTAAAGGTTGAAGGTTTTTTTTACGTTCATGCATTCTATGCATGAAGGGAAAAACTTTCTGTGTACTGCTCTCCTCCCAGCCCCCTAGTGCTTACTCAAGCCCAATCTCAATCC